GTCAATGCTTATCTCTATGGACAAACTACTGGATTTGGGTTGGGGAACTGATGAAACTTTATCATCATAATGTTTCCATTGCATGGTTTTCTCGGATAAATTCTCTAAAAATTCCCAAGCTTCATCAACATTTTTTTGATAAAATCCCCTTGACAAATTAATTCTAAGGAAGTTTTTAAAGAATAATCTAATTATTCATAGATGATTTGGCATAATCGCTATTTCTCAAGACCATAGTGAGGACATTGGATAAGAAGATCCTTAAATCTTTCAAAATACTTCCAAAATGGCTCACTCGGAACTTAAAATTTTGAATGTCGTTTCTAAGCTTAATCATTTGTGTATAGGAAATTTTTTTTTCCAGAAAAACGATAACAAATTCATCCCAAGTTGAGATAGAATTCATGGGTAAGCTATACAACCATTTCTTAGCTTTGTCCTTATAAGCAAATGGAATAAATCAAAGCTAGATCACATCCTCAGATAGTTTCCTAATTATAATCATAAAACAAACTTCCTCAAACTAGGAGATAAAAATATAAACGTCTTCGGTTTTATTTCCTAATAATTTTGGAAGCATGTTTATGTAACACGGTCTGAGCTCAAAATTAGTTTCATTGACTTAGGGTAGCTTAATGCAAGATGAGATTACATTCCTAGTTGGGTAATACATATCTTGAAGAACCGGTGAATTAGGATTATCTATTTCTTCGAAAATTGGTTCAAAACAGATTAAATGATTGGTATTATCTCTAATCCAACCTTGCATACACCAAGGCAAATCCGTTTTATTTTTTTAAATTTATTTAACTAAAAAATTTCTAAAAAAACAAACGTTAGTTTTTTAAGGAATATTAAAAAAATTTCTAAAAGATGATGAGAAGGAGGAGAAAGATAAAATAAAAACCTAACTAAAATAAATCAAAAGCATTCACTTGTATCAATCACTCCAAATTCTAGGGTTAATCCTAAACTCAACTATATTAACTCCTAAACAAAAACTCCTTTAGTGAAAAGATTGAAATTTACTCAGTCAGTTAGGTAGGTAATGATAGTATGAGAGGGAGATCAAAGATCAATTAAGTATCTCATTCCTTGCGAAACACTTTACTCAACCTCTAAACCTTATCTTAGACACCAATGGATTCAAGTAAACTTAAACCGGTTCACTTAGGATATGTTTGGTTTGAGAGAAAGGGGGAGAAAAAAAAAAGAAAGAGAAAGTAAAAGGAAAGGAAAAGAAAAGAAAATGATATTCTTTCTATTGTTTGGTTAGAAAGAATATTGTAATGAAAGTTAGAAAAAAATACATATGAAAATAATTTTCTCTTGTTTGGTTACCTTTATGAGAAAATGAGGAAGAAAATTATCACAACATAATTTTCATTCATACTTTTTAGAATTAGATTTAGATTTTAAGCAGTTTATAAAAAAAACAATTAAATTAAATTGTGTTTCTACTATATTTTGAAAAAAATTATAAGTTACCAAACATGTTTGCACAATCTTAACTCAAGAAAGAAAGTTGAATGAAAGAACCCAAACATATCTAAAGTAAATGTCATGATATTCCTAATAAATAGTATAATTCATTTTAGTCACAAATTCTATTACAATCAATTTCATATATAAAATCTTAACCAACAAATCATCTCTTACAATTGATTTCATATATAGAAGATCTTAACCAACAAAGTCTATTATAATTAATTTCATATAGAAGTCTTCACCAACAAATTCTATTACAATCAATTTCATATATAAAATCTTAACCAACAAACCATCTCTTACAATTGATTTCATATATAGAAGATCTTAATCAACAAAGTCTATTATAATCAATTTCATATAGAAGTCTTCACGAACAAATTCTATTACAATCAATTTCATATATAAAATCTTAAACAGAGAGAGATAAATCTGCCGAAGTCCTTGATTTTTGACTTTAGTGAGCCCCTCAAAACATCAATCTCGCATCCTTCATCCTCTGAAATTAAATCAATTTTTTTTAAATAAGTACAATATAAACATCAAAAAATAACATCTGATTGCACCCAAAAATTCTAAAGTGGACTATAATCTACGAATGAGACAACAAACCTTGCATAATTATAATAGCAGACAGAAACACCTTAATAGATGAAGCATGTGTACATGAATATGCAAAAGTCCTAAATATTCAAACTAGGACTGTGTTACATTCACTACAGTTATATTGCCTACAAGAAAGAGTTCGAAAATCTTAGATCAATCAATGATTTGGACTCATATTTGTAATCTTAAGGATAAATCTCAATGGTATGTAACTTTCTTGCCTACAAGAAAGAGTTCCATGCTAACTGTAACTTTTGATGCCTTAAGGATAAATCTCAATGGTATGTAACTTTCTTGTGTGCACATATCCGGTGCACTTCATCCTAAAATGCATTAGCAAGAAAAGAATCAGAAAATAACTTTTTTCTCTTGAATGTAAAAGATACAAACTTAATCCTAAAACTCTCAGAAGTTCCCATTTCATTTTCTCTTGAATGTAAAAGATACAAACTTAATCCTAAAACTCTCAGAAGTTCCCATTTCAGAGCACTTGCTCAATGGAACTCATGTTATAAACTTAATCCTAAAACTCTCAGAAGTTCCCATTTCAGAGCACTTGCTCAATGGAACTCATGTTATAAGCAAGGTTGCTGCTCCTAAACCCCCCAAAAGAAAAAAGACTGTCATTTGATACTAAAATGTCCTGCTAACTTAAAGTACTGCTCCATGAATGGAATCTATATATGAATAGTAACATATAATTTGCAATACTAAAATCTTTGGATACGATATGCATACCTATGCTTGGGAATTTTGTTATGAAAGGCAGGAAGGCAAAGGAATGTTAGTCAGTTTTGTCATTATACATTAAACTTATGAACTAAGTGGTAAAACGAAAACATGTAATTAGAGTGTAAATTAAATTAAATTACCTCTTAATACCAATACCAAGATTGTGTGATGACCATCCAAGCTTAATCTCCAGCCACCTTTTCCTCCGATGAATTGGTAACCCAATGAAGTTTCTTCCTCGAGCCGCATCCTCGGTAAGATAGTCGTAGGCTACAAGCTGTTCGTCCTCATTGAGCCCTTCAACTTTTGAAAGCTCCTCAAACATCTCTCCTTTTGTGTAAAAACGAGGACCGGTCTTCCAAATTGCAGAAGCAATTGACTCCATTCCGCTTTTTAGCCCATCAAGCTCTTCACCCAAGTTGCTAGTGGCGCTATGCTTTCTTTTATATATCACCTTTGAAGATGTTCCCGTTGTAGAATGGGTTTTGGGATCTTGTTCTTTACCTTTTGAAAGACCGGTGCATTCTACATCATTCTCTTGAACAACTTCTCTATCATCTTGATTTGTATTGATAGAACTTGATTCATCTCTTTCATTTTCTATGCGAGCACGTCTTTCTTTGATAGTTTCAGAAGATAAACCAACAGCCCTGTCTTTCCCATAAATGATTTGCAAGTTTTCAAAACACGGTACAGGTTTGTAACGAAATTGTTTTGCTCCAGGATTTGCCTATTAATAGATAAAGAAAACACAAAATTATTAGTATGGTAAATGTTTATCTAACTTATCTAAATTAAGAAGTAAATATATAATTTTGTTGATTCAGTGGACTTATTAGTATGGTTTCATCCAAGTTTACCAGTAAAATTATGATTAGCAGCAAAAGTTGTGCAATGAAATTATGCAATGAAATTTTGAATCTCCAACCGGATGGCCGAAACAATTAAACTGAAATTGAGGTCGTTCCTGGAATCAAAAAGTTTCTCCCTAGAAGAGTTGAGCTAGTTGATGGGCACATCCTTAACGTCGACTCAGTTATTTTGGCTACTGGTTACCGCAGCAACGTTCCTTCCTGGTTACAGGTAATTTCACAATTTTATGTTCTGTTTTCATGGCCATGTTTTTAGATTCATCTTGGCTACTGAGAACCCTGATGATATTTAGTGCCAAATGGGGAATCTGACTACATTTATACTGATCTGTTCTTTGGTTTTTGGTTACAGGGAAGTGATTTTCAACTTAGGTTTCAAGCAACCATTCCTTGACAATCAAAAACACCAACAATTACTTGAATCTTAACAGTTTTATTGCGTATAGGCATGACAAATTTCTGAAGGAAGTGCACATCTATGTGCAGTAATATATCTTTCTTCTTTAGCTTGGAGTTCTTTGGTAGAGGAGAAGTGATCTTTGATTGGATTAAGCTATTCCAGAGAAGGAAAATGTAAGCATAGGAATATGGACTTGTACAAACTCGGGAATGAGTAGATATAATGAGCTTATTAATTATGACCATTGTTATCTGTTTAAGGCAAACGATCACCAATTACATTTTAGTGGACATGATACATATTGTCAAGCGCAATTAATGGTCGAAAAGGATACAAAGTTGCTTGTCAAATATACTCTTTATTAGCTGGCTAACAAAGATGATGTCTCTTTCATCTTGTTGTATTTAATATGAGCAATTGGTCTAGTCCCAATTGCGTGACCTGAAATAGAAACCGGTAGCTGAAGTGTTTGAGTATAAACTCCTAAATTTTCTTATTCGAATGTCTGGCTGTAGGAACGAGTGATCATGTGGCTATGGTTCGCATGTCGAGATCCATAGAACATAAGTTTGATCATGAACATCTCAGATCCATAGAAATTCTGATAAAGATAGGTTTATGCATGCACTAATACTGATATATTTTAAATTTACGTGTCACAGTACCGCGTGCCTCTTACTTTTCTCGGATCAGATAAACAATATGTATTTGCAAACCATCGCAAAGAAAAGAGAGTACTGTTTTCTTTTGCTGCTAATAATTGGTTTTTTACCTCTTCATCATGCATCTTTGCAATTTGAAACGTGCCAATAACTTTGTTCTAAACCGGAGCAGACATTGGCCTATTGCAGAAACATGACAAGAGTACAATTTAGACAAAAATAATAAATTTGACTAATTATTCAACGTACCTTTATGTAATCTTCCCAAACTTTTGGCTCCGCATCCATCATCCTTGTCACTCGATTAAATGCAAATCCACTAGAAGAATTCTGCATGTCTTGAAATGCGCCCATATCTTTTTTAAGTGTCTTCAATCGGTTTTTAATATGATCCACTTCAACCTTTATTCCACATTTAGCATATAACTCTGCACATGTTGCTTGATAAGCATGATATGAGAAACTTCGATCGGGCTTTTGCCCTTTGTGCACTTGTTCTCTCAATGTTTCAGTTAAGCAAATATCCATTTTCTCTGTCCATACAATATTTTTCTTTGAATTTGATTGATTTCCAAGTTGTGAATCCATATGAACGGCCTGCTTGTTAATATGCAACATTACTTAAAAGATTAGTATTTGACAAGCGAACAAAGACGAAGAGTGGAACATGTGCGTGACAACTGTGGACACTTGGATTAAACTCTAAACAGCAGGTGGGGAACAAAATCTCGACTAATAATTAACATAAATTATCTTCATGACTTGCATTGGCAGTATGGTGATTATCATCGGACACCTAACAACTCTGCTTCAACTATTAATCCCGAGGCATCAAACAAAACCCCTCAAAAGAATATTACAGTTTCATTGACAGGCTTCAGGCAAATTGTTGTTCACATATTTTTCTGTCTGGTACATGTCACACATAGGAGATTCAGAAATTCATTTTGACAAAATGCCCGTGCTTTCTACTAATCCAAAAAGGACTATAACACAAAGAAGTAGCAATTGTTTGGAAGGAAGAACTGCAGTACTAGTGACAAAATTACCTATACACAACATGAAACATTAACCCAAAAGCAGAAGAGACTACAAGGAAAACAAAACTAATCACCTAAGGAATAGCTCAGTAGATTCATCTAAATAAAGGGATTTTTTTTATAGGAAAAAAGGAAAACAAAATGAAGCAAAAGAAATTTGAAAGCAATATAGAAAAGAGAATATGTTCTTATTGCAGCATATGGGACATATACATACATCGCACATATATTAGATTATTTCACATGTATAACAATGTTTAAAAACAACAAGGCATGTTCTAATACATAAATGAGCAGTGAGACTGTGGGGCATATTGGTAGGAAGAGGGAAAAAAACAATGAGGAACTATATATATCTATATAAATGCAACTAGATACAAAGTATGGAAAAGCTTGATATTCTCTAAGTTAACGGATGTTGCTATCTCCCCCTTCCAGGAACACAAGACATAAGGAAGAGGGAAAAAAACAATGAGGAACTTGAAGGAATAGAGAACCATACAGTGATACCAACTTCTTCAAGAACTTATCAGCCATTGAGAGCTCACCAAGCTCTGAAAGTTCACAATTCAGATGGATTCCCAAATAATGAATTAGAACAAAGAAATGCGATGTTTAATTTACTAATCATAACAACAAAATGATCCTGTGAACAAAAAGCAACAAGCTGTTTATAAATACTTAGAATATGTGTGAGCATGAATGGAGGAAAAATTAAATTAAAGAATGCACCATGGATATCAGATCAATAGCCTAAATGCACAGAACCTCAATATTATGAAACTGTAAGTTTTGCAACTCGAATGTTGACCAGACAATCAAAATATATTAGCTCACTCATACGATCCAGAGTATCTAAAAACACATTTACTTTTTATTTGAAGAAGGAAAATATTTCTAATAATCTCTCCACATATCATCGGCTATTTTTTGCCTTAGAATCTCTCATCGTCTATACTCTTCATTATCATTTACAGGAGCTTCTTCAACATCTATCATCTGGTTCAAAACTTCCTGATCAACTTGTTCAAGAAGCCCCTCGTCAGGAACAACACCCATTAGAAAATTATGTAGGATACTACATGCATAAATGATATCTTTTTGTGTTTCAATTGGATAATGAGGTTCTGTTCCACTACCCAAGATTGGAAATCGCTTCTTCAAGACTCCAAAAGCACGCTCAATCGCATTTCGTAGTGAAGAGTGGCGATGGTTATACACTTCACGAGGACTTTCAGGTTGTCTTGTTGAATATTCCTTGAGGTGATAACGCGTGCTCCTAAATGGTGTAAGGAATCCCAGCCTCAGCATAAAATCACCATCAACTAAATAATATTTTCCTAAAATTGAACAAAATTTAACAGTTAAAATGTGTTTATGTAAACAAGGTCTTATCTGATCTTGAAAATGATTGGACCTAAGAGTTATCACCTTGAGGAACAAATATTTTGTCTTGTCGTATTAATGCATTGTTCAACACCCGCGAATCTGAAGCAGACCCTTCCCAACCAGCTAGAACATATGTGAATTTCAAGTCAAAGGTGCAAGCGGCAAGCACATTTTGAGTTGGAAATTCTTTTCGGCCTCGATGTTAGTCTAAGGTGTAGACCCAAAGTCGAGACAAGAGCTGGAATCAAAACGACAAGAAAATAAGCAGACAGACCCACGGTCGACCGCGAACGTGCACAAGAGTTGGGAGGAGCTGAAGCTGAAGGCGGTCGACCGTGGTGGTCGACCGCGCCAACCCTGTAGGATTTTTGGTCTCGGGTTTTTGGTTCGGTCGACCGCCCGCGGTCGACCGCTCAATTTGTAATCGATTTAAGTCTCTGTCGTTTGATACGGTCGACCACGACTGGTGTGCGGTCGACCGCGATACCTGTGCGGTCGACCGCCACGGTCGACCGCGACGCAGTTTGACAGTTTCCTAAACTGTTTTGGATTCTGTTTTCTCCAGGACTCTATATATACCTTAAACGTTTTTAGGGTTAAAACAACATGAAAAAAGAGAGTTTTTGACTGCAGAAAGAGAGAGAATCTCAGAGAGATTAAACCCTAGTTTGAGAGCTTGTAATTCTTCTTCAATTAATAAAGATATTGTGTGGTGTGGCTCCCAAGGACGTAGGCACGTTGCCGAACCTCGTTAAATCTGTGTGTTCGTCTCCTTTACTATTTTGCAAGGTTAGATCTTTATTTGTGGTATTATTTCTACTTTCCTACTTTCAACACAAGGTCCGGAAGGGTAAGGGTTCGATTGATTGTTTCGAAACCCCAACACTCGATACCTTCTTGTATCTTCTTTTGCCACTTTTGACTTGAAATAATAATCTTAACCGGACAAAAACCTAGTTCTGACTCATTAGTCAAGGATGAAAAACCTGGTTCTGACTCATTAGTCAAGGCTTATTACATTACAGAAGTCTCAAATACAATACCAAATTATAATCTTAATTCTACACACAAAAATTTGAAAAGCAAATTAAGAAATCAAGAATGAAAACCAGTCTAATTGGTTCTCAAGTATGTTTTCCATCACTCCTTGTGTCCTTGTTACTCTTGAAAGTTGAAACCCAATTTATCTTGATGAGATCTTGAGTGAAATTCTATCTTTTGTGGACTATTAGCTGACCGCAGTATAATATTTTCTAACTCTTTCTTTCTGGTTTCTCTTGGTAAGATCTTTTATATTCCGTGCTTGTTTTAGGTTCTGCAAGGTTTTTGAATAGAAGTTTTGGGGCTGTTTGGTTCAATTTCTATAAAAAAAAAAGAAAAAGAAAAGTGCTCAAAATTTGATTTCCTTGTATTTCTATAAAATTTGTCTTGCTTAGCTTTACCAAAACGTATTCAGATTGTCATAATTCTTGCGATTTCTGTATTGAAATAAGTTCGGCAGTAATTTAACCTAAGTTCAGTGATATTTTTTCTTATAAATAAATGTTTGCATGTTTCGTTGAACTTGCAGGACTGAACTGTGCCGTTTTAGTGGTGCTAAGATATACCCAGGAAAGGGCATTAGATTTGTTCGTGCTGATTCCCAGGCAAGCATATTTGTTTTGCCAAGGACTATGTGGCCTAATACTAATTTTGTATAATTTTTATGCTGATCTATCTATTCCACTCAGGTCTCCCTTTTTTCAAACTCAAAATGCAAGCGCTACTTTCACAACCGTCTGAAGCCTGCCAAGCTTACCTGGACAGCAATGTATAGGAAGCAGCACAAAAAGGTAATTTTTTAGCTTGTTATTTATATGGGTGTGATTTAATGATTCTGAACTTGGTGATTAGTAGCTGTCCCTTTGTCTGTAAACACTAGTTGAAGTTCACTTCCATAATTCCAAAGCTCCTCACCAAAATAAAGCCTTTCTACCTGAAAGTTATATTACATTTCATGAAATTTGCAAATATTATTTACTTCTTAGTTAATTGTATAATTCAAACAATATAACTAAAGGTTTATGGTCAGTTGTAGACTTGTAGTTTACATAAGAATGATTTTGTTTATTGTTATGTTTGTGGTATCTTAATGTATATTGTAGTTTTAATACAGATGCTCACATATGTTTGTTTATATTGGTACACTTCTGTTCTTGTCATGTGCATTCTGAGGTGTTGATTCAAAGTCCATCTCGCATATAGCTTTGAATTTGTTCGCTGTTTGTGTTATAAACTCCTGAAATATGTTAAGTTACTTCAGTTGGAAATTATAAAAAAAACAAACAACTCAGTTATCAGACAGTATGAACAAAAATATGAGCAAAGAAATTACCAACAAATTAAAAAAAACAAACAACTCAGTTATCAGACAGTATGAACAAAAATATGAGCAAAGAAATTACCAACAAATTAAACTTCAAAACCAACAAAAAAAATATGAGCAGAATTTACCTCGGATGAATTTGGATTCATGTTGACAGAGAGATCCAAGAAAAAGATGTAGTTACTGTAAATAAATTAAAAATAACATCAAACGACTCATCGCTTCAGATTACCTCCAACCAAGCATCCACAGAACAAAATCCATATCAAAAAGAAATTACGAGCTCGAATCGAAGCTCACCTTCGAATCTTACCCAGTGTTACGCGATCGACAATGAACGATCCATAGAAGAGCGAGGGTTTGCGATCTTAAGCTGATGAGATCTCAAGCTGAGCGAGGGTTCGTCGAACTAGGGTTTGATCGAGAGAGAGAGAGAGAGAGAGAGAGAGAGAGAGAGAGAGAGAGAGAGAGAGAGAGAGAGAGAGAGAGAGAGAGAGAGAGAGAGAGAGAGAGAGAGAGAGGAGAACGATGAGGATCTCTAGAGGCGAGGATCTCTGGAGGCGACGAGCAAGGCGACGATCGGGGTCAGCGTCGGGCGTCGGGCGAAATTTCTGGAGGAGAGATCGGGGTCAGCGTCTGGAAAATTCCCGTCGCTCTCCCTCGTTTTCACTAGGGCAGCAGAGAGAAAGGGGGAATGAAAAAGTATAAACCCATTTTTCTGCAGTGAAATTTATTTTCTTTTTTCTTTTTGTTTTCTTTCAAAACAAACAACAGGAACCTACTTTCTCTCACATTTTACTTTCCTTTCTCTTCCTTTCTCTCAAACCAAACATAGCCTTAAGGATTTCTTGTTCCTTAATGACCTCGAGTCCTTAGAGGCTAACGTCTGATGAGTTTTAAAAGGCTTAGGTTTGTGTAGTGAGGAATTAGTTATTTGTGGGCTAAGGAAAGAGTAATAAAATTCCTCACATCATCTTGATTAATGGATTTCCCTTAAGAATATTTTCAAGTGGTGTCAAATCAAGATGCTCAAATTACTTTGATGAATTCCTACTAATATATGCAATGCAACCCTAAGAATTAAAAGCAACTACAAATGATACAAAAAGAAATTCTTTTATTTTTTAATTAAGGCTAGCAATCAAACAAATGTGAGGAAGGGAGATATTGTTTGAATTTATTATCTTGTTAGTAAATATCTAAGTAGAGGGTGAATTTTATTATGTTTGACAAAATAAAATCTTTTATTTCTTTTTAAATCATAATTGTCTCTAATTGTGAGAAACTAACTACATGGGTGGAATTGAAAATACTAGAAAAAGACTTACTAAAAAAATCTTTAACTTCTCGATCTCCAATCCTTGATCTTCAATCTCCAAGTGGTTCCTACATAAATTAAAAAACCAAAATAAACAAAATCCTACTTATAAGCACCTTTCCCGGCAATGGCGCCAAAAACTTGATGGGATATAAAAATATACCTCTAAAGTTACAAGTGCATAACCATCAAGTTATAGTATAAAAAGTTATTGATCTCATAAGGAATGTGTTTGTAGAAGAAAATCAAGATTGGTTCTTATGCTTTGTGTTGTGTGTGTGACAATTAGGAGTGATGGATATGATTGTGGAGAGATAGAGAGAGTGAGTGTGATTGTATGTAAATAAAAACAAAACGAGATTTTGAGTGGAGAGATAAGGGTGGATGTGATAAAGTGTATGTTTGTTGGAAATTTGCAGTAAAAGAAATAATGAAAGAAAAATTTGACTTGTATTCCTCTCAAAATCAATTACAATTTGGATTCCGATTACAAAAGAGAGGAGAATGAATTCGATTCTCCCCTTTGTTTAATTCTGGGTTCTTCACGGTGGCGATGAGATGCCTCCCTCGAATGCTCGCGTCGAGTTTGCTTCTCGTTGACGATCCGAACGTCTTGATTCACTGGAACGATGTCATCTCCTCACGATTTGACGCTGTGGAGAACTTGCGTGGCAAGTTTTGAAATAACTCTTGACGAGTTGATAACTCTGAAAGAGTTTTAGAAGAACTTGCAGAGCAAGTTTTGAACTCTGATCGAGTTGATAACTCTGAACGAGTTTTAGAAGAACTTGCAGAGCAAGTTTTGAACTCTGATCGAGTTGATAACTCTGAACGAGTTTGAACTCTTGAAAAAGAGTTGATTTGAACCGAAAGTTCGGTTAATAAGCCAAGGAAGAAGTTCATGTTGCTGGTCTCCCAAAACTCCAACAATTCAAGCCGAGAGCCAAAAAAGCCAAAAGCCTTCTCTCCCAAGCCAAAATCCCAGCCCGAACTCAGTTGAGTTTTGAGGTATTTATAGGGGATTAAGGGTATAACCGCCCCCTTAAATATCTCCTTAATGAGGGTTTAATGGGGTCTAACTGCTCCCCATAAATCTCTCCATGATAGGGTAGTGATCCCCTAAAATCTTGGGGAGAAAACGGTTCTGGAACCGTTCAAATCGTGCTTGAACGAGTTAAACGCTGAAAACAGCGTTCTGGGCTCGAACTGTGCGTTTCTGGACCTGAAACGCACAGTTGAGGTTGAAAAACGCACAGCTGGGGCTGAAAACGCACAGCTGGAGCTGAAAAACGCACAGCTGGGCTGAAAACGCACAGCTGGAGCTGAAAAACGCACAGCTGGGCTGAAAACGCACAGTTGAGGCTGAAAACGCACAGCTGAGGCTGAAAACGCACAGCTGGGCCTGTAAACGCACAGTTGGCCTGTTTCAGGCTAAAAACGCACAGTTGAGCCCATAAACGCACAGTTGACCTGTAACTCTGCGTTTCTAGATTGAAAACGCAGAGTTGAGCCTGTTTAAAGGCTGAAAACGCACAGTTGTGCTGTTTTAGCGATTAACTCTGCGTTTTGATGTTGAAAACGCAGAGTTGAGCATGTGCGCTTTGACTCTGTAATGCAGAGGCGAACCTTAGGCGGGCTTGGCGGGCTTCAGGCTAAGTCCAATGTTCTGATGAAGTCCAGTCTTGCAGACGGACCTCAGAACATAATTTGCTGCGAAGAACAGGTCATAACTTTCAAACCGTAAGTCGGAATTAGACGAATTATATATGAAAATCGGCTATCTCGACGAGACGGGGCCATCCGAACCGAGCCAAAGGCTTCGGTTCGCTTCCTACGTTTTGCCAAATTCCTTACG